ACTTAGTCAATTTTGTGAATATCAGTGTTCATGTTTTAACATAGTAACTTCTGTGCCAATTAAGTCGAGTAACGTAGAGATTTAGATATCGGCTGGACCGTTGCCAGACGTATGTTTTGTATAGTTGAAGTTAATTATTGAAGCATTCGTGACTTCCTCAACGTCTCTCCAGGCCAGTGTGTTGAGCTGAATACTCATCGGCTACCGTGGGTCGGTAGCCGAGTTGGACGATGCCGTTAATTCGACAGGATCAAACTGTGAAGTCCTGCAAATCAGGCCCCAGCTCCCTTGGCATGTGTCGGTCTACAACCGACCCCCTAACAGCGATCTTCATTTGTTATGGAGACACCCGGGATATATACCCTGGGGCACTCCTCACAGTTACATGGGTCTAAGTATTATTGTATCTTGATTGAGGGATTAACTAACAGAAATATGGAACTCCCTGGTTAAGTAGTGAACCCATAAATGTTGATATTACCAGGAAATATGTTATGTGAGTTGAGTACATGAACTGAAGGAAACGTATCATGTTCATGCCGATAGAACGTGATGTTATAAGTTGATTTGGGATAGTGTCAAGTGTGTCATATTATCCACTTGCAGTAACAATGGAACAATATGTTGATTGTTAAATGTTGTAACCAAGAATTGAAGATGTAATTTGTTACTTGTAAAAGTAAGACCTGAGGGTCCAGTGATATCTTGTGTATAATAATTACTGAACCTCATTTGTCAGAGGAATAATACAACAATTGTCTAATGAAGTAATAAGTATTTGGAGGTATTCAATGAGGTAATAAGTTCTTGAGGTGTTTGATGACTTAATAAGTTAATTGCGCTTCTGTTTTGTCTTGAGTGAATCTAGGATGCATCTTATGTTATGTTATATAATGAAAAGTCTGGGTGGTGGCAGCTACCCTTTGTAAGTATAAAAAGTGTTGTACAAAGAGTAACATGGTTCCCCAGACTAACCCATGTTTAAGAATAGACATAAAACAGAATATACTTCAGAATGGTAAGAACATTGAAACTGAGAATATAATATATATATGAAAGAAATGAAAGACTTGGAAAGTACAAGAAGAGAAAAATAAGACATGTATGTACAGTACATTGTGGAACTAAAACCACAGCATAGAAATTATGAAATAAACACCACGAAAGTCTAATATAAAACACATACAGTCAACCCTCGCTTTACGCGGTCCCACTTTACGCGTTTCCACGTTTACGCGGTACCCTGCCAAAACCGGAATGCTCACTTTCCGCGGTGTGTGTACCCTTTTACGCGGAGAGCGGCGCGAGCATGGTGCGCACAAGGTCGCCCAGTCATCAAAACATTACCGAGTTCTTCACCCGACACCCACCACAGCCGGCCCAAGTCAGTGATAGTGATAATTATAGTGAGGATATGGACTTTGAGGGGTTTGACAAAGAGGCCCTGCAAGCCTCTGTGTGGATAGTGATACAAGTGATACAGGTGAGGGCCAATAATCTGCCCTCTGCCTCGGAACCAACCGCCCATCCCCGTGTGCCCAGCCATATTTTCTACTAATAAGTGTTAAAAAACCTAATATTAGTGATATTTCTCTCAATTATTAATTGTGTGTGCATACCATCATAAAATTAAGAAGTTATTTTTACTACAACGTAGGTATTGTGTCTGAAAAAGTGGAGTTTGGGGGTTGGCCCGGTCTCTATTTCAATTAATCCCATATGTTATGTTGTTCACTTTACGCGTTTCTCATTTTACGCGGGCCGCCGTGGGTTGAATTAACCGCGTAAAGTGAGGGTTCACTGTACATAACTATGACCAGAATTACTTATATAAGAATACTAAATAAGAATATAAAGTATATTTATAAATAAAGACTTGAAGAAGGATAACTATATAAACAGGATACTCATTGAAAAGAATGCTACAAAGAACATATAAGTTTATGAATAGATAAGAATACTAACAGAAAGGAATATCTGGATGGTAAAATAAAATGAGAAGAACTCGGCCCGTTAAATTACAGTCTCCAGTATCGGTCTCGTGAACCAGGGTTGGAAAAAATCATGATTTAAAAAAAAAATTGATTTATTTGATTTAAATTGGATTTTTTTTAATTAATTCAATTTATTTTATTTTTTTACTAAATGTATTAAAATAGTCTTTTTAAACCATAAAAACAGTAGTTTTCAACCAGAGCTTATTGAAGATAATAAACAGAAAATTGGCATCAAGATATTTATGCAGTAGATGTACCAATGAAATTTAACACAATAATATTCTTTTTGTAAAATAAAAGAAAACTGGTAACATATCTTACATTTGAGTGAACAAATCCAAACGTAATAATGAAATTTAACATAAATGCTCTTATAGGATTACAGTGTTTCAAAAATTAATAACTTAACTTCTTCAAGTCAACAGAATAATATGCTCATTTTGTAAAAAAAATAATACTGGTAAGTTTATTTTCTTACATTTGTAGGATTATAGTGTACCTGTATTGAGAATTACCGGTAATAACTCCAAGTCAACACAATATTCTCATTCTGTAAAGAACAAAAATAGTTCAAAACATTTAAATTAGCTTAGTTGAACATTGAAATGCTTATGTACTATGACAAGCTCAGATGCCTTTTCCTGTCTTAGGCAATTTCTTACCTTTGAGTGTGCAAATCCATATGTGGAAAAAATTCTCTCAACCCCTGCTGATGATGCAACAGCTGTAAATAATTGCCTAGGAACATCCATTACATTTTCTGTCATATCATTGGCAAAATACTGCCACCAAGCAAGGGGTGAGAGAGATTTTACAACATCTTTACCAAAATAGACCTCTTTAAATGGTGCCCTTCTTCCATGGAAGGACATTAATGTTGAAAGGAAATGTGGAAGAGACTCGCACACATACTGTTCTGCAATGTCTCGCTGCTCAGGAGTCAGATGTCTGCCCTGATACCTTGGATCTATCACATTAGCTAGAAAATGGGCAGGTGTCAATGCTACTTTGATTCTTTTTTCAAAATTATCCATTTCCTTCTTATCTGTTAAATACTCCTTAATATCAGTTTTCAGTTTTACCCAGATTTCTACAGCATCACTTAATAGGGTATGTTCTCTCTGGACACAGTCCAATGCCACAGCAAGAGGCTCAAGTCTCTCTAAATAGTCTTCTGCAGTTATTTTTAATGCCTTATCATTAACTTTCCTTTCAATTTTCTTATCAATGTCTTCACTATTTTCTTTGCACACTTTGACAAGGGTCTCCCAGTTCTTTAAATAAGATTCAATAGAATCTGTTGCTGTGTTCCATCGTGTGTCTGATGGCATTACTAGCATTGTTCCTCCTGCTCTTCTATACAAAGATCCTGGGATGTGATGATTTCTGAAGTACTTAATGATTTCAGTAATGTGCTCCTTAATGTTCTTGATTTGCAGGTCTTGTGAAAGCAAATTTAACAGGTGTGCAGAGCAACCATATGTTATAATGGATTTATCTTGTCCGAATTCACTTCTCATTTTTGTCATATTAGCAGCATTATCTGTTACACAGCTTCTTACTGTGCATCCAAATTTGTCTTCACACTTTTTTGTAGCACATTCAGCTAATTTCAACAGATATTCAGCTGTGTCTTAATTCTGTGTCTATTGAGTCAACAAGATAAATACGGCTGTCCGCTGTTAAAGTTATACATACTATAGGCTCATTATGGACATTACTCCATCCATCCATCCATGGCCATGCAAACTGTTTTCCCACTAAGGTCTTCTGAATAATTCTTAATCACTTGATCCAAAAGAGACCCTCCAATTTGATGTCTATTAGGTGAAACATATCCTGGGGAAATTTTGTCGTGGCCCTCGACATCTCCAAAGCATTTGACAGGGTATGGCACAAGTCTTTGCTACCTAAACTTCCCTCTTTTGGTTTCTCTCCCCCACTTTGTTCTCTCATCTCCAGCTTCCTTGAGAATCGATCCATGGCAGTTGTTGTCGAGGGATTGATCTCTCGCTCTTTCTCTACCAATAGTGGCGTCCCACAGGGTTCTGTTCTTTCACCAACTCTCTTTCTTCTTTTTATCAATGATTTACTTCACACTACAACTAATTCTATCCATTCTTACGCCGATGATTCTACTCTTCACTCTTCCTCACATTTTCCCCTTCCTCCTAACTCTCAAACTAGATCTGTTTCTAGAACTGATATCATTACTTCTATCAACGCGGATCTGTGCAGCATCTCTGAATGGGGAGATACAAACTTGGTTAAGTTCAACAGTAACAAAACTCAATATTTACCAATTACACTTTGTAAAGTAGACGATCTCCCACCAATTACATTTCAGGACGCTTTCATCCTCCCAAATTCTGAAATAAATATGTTAGGCCTCACCATTTCCTCCAATATGTCCTGGAAATCACACATCCTTAGTATAACTAAAGCTGCCTCCCGAAAGTTGGGAATGCTGTACAGATGCCGCAGCTACTTCACTCCTGAGCAGTTGCTCCAAGTAAAAAGGGATTCATTCGACCTAACTTGGAGTACTACTCTCATATCTTGGGTGGCTCTTCTTCTGTCCAACTATTAGATACGGTGGAATCCAAGGCATTTCGTCTTATTAACTCTCCTCCTTTAGTCGACAATCTCTCTCCCCTTTCTCTTCGCCGCAATGTTGCTTCACTCTCACTCTTTTACAGGTACTTTAACGGGCAATGTTCAGTGGATTTGGCATCCTGTGTACCGCTGGTAAGGCCGTGGGTTCGTAACACACGTCTTGCCCGCGGTGCCCACCATTTCTCTGTGGATGTCGGTCACACGAGAATAACCCGTTATAATACCTCCTTCTTTCCTCACACAGCCAAACTGTGGAATGCTCTGCCTTCTTCTGTGTTTCCTTGCTCTTACAATCTGTCTCACTTTAAAAAGCTGGTTTTCCGGCATCTTCGTGGTGTAGATTAATACAGCATAACCTTTTTTTCTATATTTTCAATTTCTTTCCGTTCTTTTTTTTTGCCCCCCAGGCTCCGTTGTGGGTCATTTGACCTGTGCCCGGGTGGGCTAATTCCCGTAAAAAAAAAATCATCTCGATAAACTCTTCGTGCTCCACTGTTCGGAAGGGTGAATATGATCAAAGTTTCACAAAACTGGAGAGAACAGACTATAGTACAGTACATAATTATGTAAATCCAAATAATGTTATTAGCCTGCTGCATTGCATATACTTTTCAATCATGTACTGTAGAATAAAAAGAGAAAACAGTTATTAGTAAAAAAATCATTTTGATTTAAATCATGATTTTTTACTCTGATTTAAATCATGTGATTTAAATCATTTGATTTAAATCATAACAACCCTGGTCTCTCCTGAACAAAAACAATATCAATACTTTTACTAAAGTATTATAATTTCTAGTAAAATATATACAGTAATTACAAAATCTAGGAACACAATATACCAAGAACAATCCATATTAACACGTCAAGATATTTACCTAACCTGGCCAACTGTTTACATTATATCTCTCGTCTCAACACCTAGATATACTGTATGTATGTACTGTCTCAACACACACCATTACCAGTCTTGTTACTCTTCAATGGCCAAACTAACTGAGATAACATATCGCTAAACATAAGCTATAAAACTGCTATAAGAGGTAAATATTAATGCTAGAAAAACACAACCTTATATATAGACAAACTGTAATAATTTCTATATATGAAAAAAATATATATTCACAAACTATAGCTAATATGGTAGTAATTTCCTATTATATTACAGTTTATCAAGGGGTATAATTGTAGCAATATTCCTTTTAAGTAGTTTTGAATGATATATCTGGTAATGTTTTAAATCACATCAAAGTTGTTTTTTTTAAGTTCAAGAAAAAAATTTTTGAATCGGTCGGTGTTCATCATTGTTCTCCCGTTAACTATTATATTTGACCTTCATAGTAGTTTAATTTTTGGTCCTTGTTTTACTATTGATCCCCCATGATCACACTGTCGGTACGCTGTCTACCTGCGAGGTCTATGTGTCCCCAAACGACCAACTTATCCACCAATCACGTCCATTGTTACATGACCAATAACCATTCATTCATAAACAGTGACGCTACTACTGTGACGGTGCCGTTTGGAGACACTGGTTACCTCGGAGTGTAGGGACACATTTCCGCAGTTGTACCGACACGGAAAAAAGTCCCGTGTAAATCCTCCGTTCCAACCATGAACCTTAGGACCCCTATACCTGTGAACCCGTGAACCTTCGGACCCGTGAACCTGTGAATAACCAGACATCACATAAACACACACTGTTGGGCCTATAGATGATGCACTGGGAAGGTGATGTCTTGGATTCACAGGTTCACGAGCCTCAGGGTTCACTAGTCTCAGGGTTCACTAGTCAGGGTTCATTGATAGAATAGAGAACTGACATTGTTTATATACTGTACCTGCTGAACTGTATACTGTAACTGCATTATGTATATACTGCAAAATACTGAATCAATATACATTTGTTGGATGATTTTAATGAATATCTATCTAGACAATTAACCGTACGGCATTTTTGTAGTCGCGATTTATCATCATCTCGAATTTTATTCAATATCCCAGTCAATTCATATTTCCCTTCTACTGGTCATCACAAATAGTACAGTACTTATAATCACTACAGATAAAGTGACAGATATTAACTCTGATATTTGCCCAAGACCAGAATATAAGTGACTAGATGAGTTACTATATATTAGGCAATTATGTTAACAAACTCATTTTTTTGACGTCTTTGTAGTACTGGACATGTCCGACTAGAGTTATTCTTCATAGTATTTAATCAGTCTAATGCAATTGGATGAATTCACACAATGTACCGTCCAGGAGATGTGTTACAGTACATTACATTAAAAGGGTACGGGATGTGTCACAATTTGAACACACATTTACAAGCTGTGTTATAGATTGTACATACACGCACAAACCCTGTACGTCATAACCACCACTCACATCACTCTCCTCTATAAGTGGTGGTTCAAGTAGATACACCAATACCTGACCATAAATATCACCTTCACTATAGCAGTTTACGATTCATATATTACCAATATTTTTCACTCGGAAACTATACTCACTCACGTCCCACTCAATGTCGTCCAAGTTGATTGGCTCTCGCATCGTCCGTTCCTTGAATACAACGCGGTCTGTGTTGTCCACGAGAATGACCGTTGTTGTTCTGTGAAATAATTTATACAGTTAATATCAAATAATTTATAAACGTGTAGCGTAATTGCGATCACCAACGACACCTTTCACGATTTTAACCTTGGTTGGTCACCTGAAGATTAGCGCCTCCCTCACCCCAAGGTAATTTCAGGGTAGTTAATCTTGGGGGGGGGGGGTAAATCCTCAGGTAAGCCATCAAGGTCGTACTTAAAGAAATCATCTCGTTAACGGTCTCTCCGCTGATGGATAAACAGGTATTGTACAGGTATTTGGAGATTAACTAAGGTGAGGTTAACTACTTGCTACACAATTAGTAGACTTATAGAAGTAAAATCTCCGCAACACCAATTCTAAATTAGTTTATGACTGAAGAGATGGCCATTGTCACACATAGATTAGTCTCAGCTATGATATCCAATACTAATGCCCAGGACAGAGCTCTAATCACTTCAGTACTCCACCCACAAATGACTTATTGTATTACCCGGTGAACCGTCTTACATTTTCCACTCTTAACACAACAGCAGGACTCATACCTCATAACCAAAACTCTCACAAGGAATAAAAGACCGAGGAACTAAATACGAGTGGTTAACGGCCAGCGAGCTTATCCTCACGAACAGTTATGTTGTTTGTATACAGTACCCGCACTGTCTATGTACATACTGAATCAATTGTCAACTTGTAATGAGGATATGGCTATTAATCTATCTATCTATCTATCTATCTATCGATCTATCTATCTATAGCCATCATCATGACCTTACCTTGTACCATATAGCCAAGTTGCAGCGGTCACCCATATACTTGAAAGACTATTGATCAGTTCATCCGAGTAACCTCGGCCCTGCTCCATCAACTGGTGGTCGGGCAGGTTCTTGGTAGAGTCCTCCATCATGGTAAACAGTTCCTTCAGTAGCCGGGCCTCGTCGCCCACTCTCCCGCAGGCTTCGATGATTTCTTTCAATCTTTTTTCACCTCGGTTTACTTTCTTGAATGGCTTGTCGTTTGGGGAATTGCCGAATCCATGAATGCCCGGTTCTATATCCGCGGGAACTTTGTCTTCGCTGTTGTAGTAGGATACCCTGTACCCGTCTTCCCCCCAATCCATCGTCAAGAGGTTAAACGGGTTAAAAATAGTCCCCGACATTTTTAATTTCTCTAAATATTCCATTCCCGCGAGGTCATTGAGAAGGTAGTCGACGATGAGTTGACCTCTTGAAGTGGCCTCCGGTTGGAATTGTTCTTTAGGTGTGAGGATGTTGAGCAAGCAGCCGATTTTACCAGTTTGTGAAAGAGCAAGCCAAGTCCCGCCCTCTTTGCCAGATTGGATATCCATACCTAGAACAGTTCAGAGTAGTTCATTTACATTACAGACATAGAAATGAAGATCAAATATACAGTTTTTACCCTCAATCACTCATATGATGTAAAGATTAGGCACCCCAGTTTATTTCACATGAAGATCAAACACCCTAACATTAATAAGGTACATTATTATATATTAATTATCAGTATTTTACAATCATTTTCTGAGCTTATGTGGTTTAGCTGTAGTTATTATCAATCATTTTTATCATCATCATCATTATCAGATGGTAAGGTGTCCAAGTTCCCATCACGAAAATTTAGATCGAATTTAAGTTGGTTAAATTTGTTCAATTACCAAGGATAACATTTAGACTCTTCTCTAACCCAATAAAATGTGGCAAAAACAAAAGCCAAACTCGTTGGGAACAATGGGGGGGGGGGTCCTTTCCCTGTCAAAACTAAAAAAAAAAAAAACTAAAAAATAAACCAAACGAATCTAACCCATCTTACAGTACCTCCATATAAGTTGGAATCCCATAAATGTGCTTTTTTGGTCGGCCTTTGGTATGACTCATCGCGGTTGTTGACCAAGACGAGCTTATACTCTCCCTTCTTGGGGTCCGGATTGATGTACAGGAACAGCAGGCACATTGTGAGGTCTTAACACTGTAATATAGACAAAGACAAAAATTTACCCCAAGATTAATACTGTACTGTTGTTCTGTAAACGAATGAATCACCTGAAGATTAATCCCCCATTGCTTGTGTCACCTGAAGATTAACCCTCCTGGCTTATGTCACCTGAACATTAACCCTCCTGGCTTATGTCACCTGAACATTAACCCTCCTGGCTTATGTCACCTGAACATTAACCCTCCTGGCTTATGTCACCTGAACATTAACCCTCCTGGCTTATGTCACCTGAACATTAACCCTCCTGGCTTATGTCACCTGAACATTAACCCTCCTGGCTTATGTCACCTGAACATTAACCCTCCTGGCTTATTTCATCTGAAGATTATCCCCCTAATGGGAAACTAACCTAATGTAATCTAGCTTAGCTTAACCTTAAAAAAGGGTTAAACCAGTCCTTAAAATGTTAAACCATCGTCCTCAAGGGGTTAAACCATCACAGTTTACTGATACCATAAATGTAATTGGATGATCATCTGTTTTAAGTGACTTACCAACTTAAATGATCAGCTTAGGGTAGGGTAGGGTAGGATAGGTTAAATCGTATAAAACAGACGATCATCCACCTGGGTTGTTATGTAACAGGGAGTCAATTTTCAGAAATGTATTTTTATGAAAGCGACAGGTGATAATTATATGGATTTATGTGCAAGAAGCTCAGAAATGCCTATAATTTCAAGAGTGGATATCATTTAGCTACATCTATTTGGCATGAGGTTTTGGCATTGATGCACTGTAGTACTATGTGTTAGGTAGATAGATCATTTGTGCAGCATTTGTCAAGCAACAGAGACCGCTCTAACCTTGCATGATTGTATGTGGGCAAGTTTGTACAATACACAGTCACTCGTCTGCTTTATCGATACAGCGTGGATGTTAAAGTAATTAATGCACTATGTGGAGGTGAAGCTGGGCAGGAGGCTAATATGTGACCTCCTTACTGGGGAGTTGACCCTGAGACACCTCATCATCAGCTTGGATGGCCCCCACACTCGGCATTAACAGGTGGAGTGGCAATATTGGCAAGATGCTGGACACTGCTACGGAGCTGGAGATAGATCCCAAGTGTGCCAAGATCTGTGTGGGGCTCCTCTGGTCCAGCTGAGTGAAGGGGGTGTGAGGGACCTCTCTACAGACCAGTCCTGTGACTAAAGGATTCCCCAGGCCACCAGGACTGGAGAGCTGCCCCACAACTTGACCCTGCTGGAAATTGGACCAGTCTGTCATAGCAGGTGGCTGACAACTGCACTGAGGATGTGCAGACTGTGGGTGCCTAAGCATGGACTGAAGGGGAAGCACAAGAAGAATCTCAAGCTAATACTGGAGTTGATAGTGGGGGTGAACTTGACTAACTGGTACAACATCAAAGTCAACCACAGGCGGGTGGAGGGGCCCAGGCACATTGTGTACCAGCTGGAGCTGTTGAGAAGTCACAAGAAGAAGGTGCTGTATGATGCCCACTGTGAGGAGGTCAGCCTGGTGTACGCACCCAGAGGCAGTGTTGTGTAGTGAGGTGGAGAGAGGCAGTGTTGTGGGCCATGTTGTGTAGTGAGGTGGAGAGAGGCAGTGTTGTGGGCCATGTTGTGTAGTGAGGTGGAGAGAGGCAGTGTTGTGGGCCATGTTGTGTAGTGAGGTGGAGAGAGGCAGTGTTAGTCATGTTGTGTAGTGAGGTGGAGAGAGGCAGTGTTGTGGGCCATGTTGTGTAGTGAGGTGGAGAGGCAGTGTTTGTGGGCCATGTTGTGTAGTGAGGTGGAGGATGAGAGGAGAGAGGCAGTGTTGTGGGCCATGTTGTGTAGTGAGGAGGAGGATGAGAGGAGAGAGGCAGTGTTGTGGGCCATGTTGTGTAGTGAGGAGGAGGATGAGAGGAGAGAGGCAGTGTTGTGGGCCATGTTGTGTAGTGAGGTGGAGGATGAGAGGAGAGAGGCAGTGTTGTGGGCCATGTTGTGTAGTGAGGTGGAGGATGAGAGGAGAGAGGCAGTGTTGTGGGCCATGTTGTGTAGTGAGGTGGAGGATGAGAGGAGAGAGGCAGTGGACAGGATACAGGAGTTGAGGAAACACAGACTGGTGACATAGACCCAGATGCCACCAAGCTGTCAGAGCTGATAGACTGAACCTCCCCTCACCACAGCTCAAGTCAAGCAGTTTGTGCACAGGCCTATGGAGGTGCCAGACTGGCCTTCACAGTGTGGAGAGGTGTGTCAAACTGGTCACAGAGGCAGCTGCCCATGTCTACAGTCACGAGAAAGGGGATGGGATGATCAAGTCCCAATTGGTGAGCAGACTTCTAATGTCTAGGAACAGGAGCAAGCAGGACCTGGCCCCTCTCACCAAGCTCAAGAAGTGAAGAGTATAGCATGTGAGCATATGTGTGTGAGTGTGTGTACATAGTGTCTGTACATAGTGTTTGCATTGTGTGGCACCTTTTGTATATAGCGTTTACAACAGTAGAGTCAGTCGTTGTAATACAGAGGTTCCGTATGTGGCTTGTGTTCTTGCCGGCGATCATTACTACAAGGAGGAGAGTAAAAACCTCGATACCTATTGTCAAACATTACTAAATAAAACTGCAAATACGATTTTTACTTTAGGACATGAGTCCCTCAGGGTTGACCAGTATGTTTTTCAGTGTATTTTGGCGAGTTTTAAACGAATCTGACCTTCATTTTTGGCGGAAATTGCTAGTTTTGTACCCCCCAACAATAATGGTGGAGAGCCTAGGAAATCGGCGTTTGGGGGAAGAAACTTAAACGAGTCATCTAACCTAACATAACCCCTACCCGGGGTCGCCGCCCCCGGTAGACCTAACTTAAACTAACCTAAATGTTTCAGTAGTTAAAACTTTGGGGCGCACAATGTCCGTAAGTACAATACCTTAGTTAGAAGTGGAAGGACCAGGGATACGTAAGAATTGGACAGAATGATCGTCCTTCTCGTAAAACTCGGCAATAAACTTAACATAATCGTAGGAGCACGAATGACAACCAACCTCCACCACGGGCATTGTGAAACTGGTCACTGAAATTAAAATCATTCCTGGGTTGCTTCCTTTGAAAAATCAAATGTGATTGGTCGAAAAAAATTTGTGTGGTGATATCAATACATCATTGGTCACGACTGGATTATGTTAGTCAATATTGTACATGCATGATGAGACTATAACAGTTCCTCAGACAAAGACTGAAAACTATGTAAAATCAATTAAATTCAATTGTGTCACTATTATCCATTTCCGCCATGTATATAATGGGGTTTAAAATGACCAGAATAGCGATATCTACCGGTAAATGTGTCAGTAGTTTATAACTTTCGGGGGCACTATGTCCTAAAGAAAAATAATACCACTGCAAATACGATTTTTGGTAAAGGTGTAGAAAAGGGTGACCACCAGAAGTTGTTTGTTGATTGTCTTTATTTTTGCTGTACTTAATGTTTTGATGATTTTAAGCATATTAAAAGAAACGACAACTTTCTAATATAACTTTAAGCATTTACTCATCCTGCTTCACAATTCTGTTCCCGGCACCATTTTTGTTGTCAATCTCGCCGCATCCCTCTTCAAGAGACTTTTCCTATAAATGATGATGAACGCTTCCACTAATTCCTCCTCGCCATTGCTGATGTATATTAACCCCAATATTAAGATAAGTTGTTTAACTCATAAATTAACACGATAATACATAGAACCTGACCTAACAATCCCCTAGGTTGGGTATATTATGTCAGGTTCTATTCGGTTCTGTGCATTGTCGTTTCCATTTTTGTGTTTAATATGATATTAGTGTGTAGAAAAAATTAAAACAATTCCTTCTGGTGGTCACCCTCTATACACCTTTACCCTATTATCGGTTAATATATAGGACTAACCCGCTGGGCTGCATAGCGCCGATGTGGCTGTATCATCTCGCGTCCAAATGCCTCAAGTTTCACCATATCATAGTAAGTTGTTTCTGTTTAATATACTGGGGGAGTCAGGTCAGGTCAGGTCAGGTCAGGTTAAGTTATGTTAGGTCAGGTTAGGTTAAGTTAGGTCAGGTTAGGTTAAGTTAAGTTGGGTCAGGTTAGGTTAAGTTAGGTCAGATCAGGTTAGGTTAGGTTAGGTTAAGTTAAGTTAGGTTAGGTCTGTTCTTTACATCCACAAATGTTAAGTAGCATTTATTTTACTCACTCACAGATGATCTTCTGGAAGAGACTGTGACTCCAGCTCAATAGCCTCTTCTCTACTCAGACGGTGGCTGTGTGGCGGATAATTGTGCCCTATAATTATATACTTGTTGATTTTTCCAGTATTTATCTAATTTTGCTTCAAACTTCTCCACATTCACTACCCACTCAGGTAAACTATTCCAGGTGTTGACAACCCTACTCAGGAACGAGTGTCTTCTGAGATTTAGCTTCACTCTTGTTCTGTAGATCTTCTTTGTGTTCCCCCGGGTAGTGTCAGCCTCCCTCATCTGTGACCTTGACCTTGCTGCTGGTCATATATGCCACACACTATCTTGTATGTTTCCACTTGGTCCCCACGAGATCTTCTGTACGCCAGTATCGGTAACTGTAATTTCCTTAGTCTTTCATCATAAGATAAATCCTTGATTTGTGGTACTAATTTGGTAGCCTTCCTCTGTACATTCTCTACTGCTTCAATATCCTTAATGAGATATGGGCACCAAATTTGATTAGCATACTCAAGGTGTGGCCTAACCAGAGCAGTGTACAGAGCCTTGAATATAGGTGCATCCAGATGAACAAAAGTTCTTCTAATAATGCCCACTATTTTATTAGCCTTGTTGATTTTCTCAGCTAGATGGCCAGAAAACATCAGCTTATCATCGATGACTACCCCTATATCCTTCTCTACAGTGGTCTTCTTGGTCATGGTGTACATATGATATCCATGGTCAGCAACTTTTGTTCTTTCTATCCTCATGTACAATATTTACTTTTTTCTGGGTGAAAGTTCAGCATCCACTTCTCAGTCCAACCCCTGATCCCATCCAGGTCCTCCTGCAGCGTGTCACAATCCTCATCTCGTTCTATTTTCCTAAAAATCTTTGTCATCAGCATATAGATATACCTCACTGTCGTGTTTAATTGCCTCAGGCAGGTCATTGATAAAAAGGACAAACAGCAGGGGGCAGAGGACAGAACCCCGAGGGACCCCACTAGTGACCTCTCTCCAGTCAGATACTTCTCCATTTACCACAACCCTCTGTTTTCTCTTAGTGACTCCAGTATCTCAATAGCCTCTTCTCTATTCAGACGGTGGCTGTGTGGCGGATAATTGTGCCCTATAATTATATACTTGTTGATTTTTCCAGTATTTATCTAATTTTGCTTCAAACTTCTCCACATTCACTACCCACTCAGGTAAACTATTCCAGGTGTTGACAACCCTACTCAGGAACGAGTGTCTTCTGAGATTTAGCCTCACTCTTGTTTTGTAGATCTTCTTTGTGTTCCCCCGGGTAGTGTCAGCCTCCCTCATCTGTGACCTTGACCTTGCTGCTGGTCATACCTTGTCATAGATGCCACACACTTCAACCCCTCAGGTCAACGCACTCTACTATATAATCTAATCGCCTTATTTTACTCACCCTCTCCAAGAGCTTTTAGTGAAGTGCAGCCAAGTTATATTGTTTTATATACTTGTATCATTAATATCTAATCTAAAGTGTCCATTTTATCACCAATCACCGTAGTTGATGGTTGGTGGTCCCGTGTTTGGGTGTAGTTGGGAGACAATGTTTACAAACAATGAGTTCCTGGTCTGAATCCTCTTTAATCCGGTCCGACTAATGTAGCCAAATGTAGCCAAATGTGGTCAAATGTAGTCAAATGTAGTCAAATGTAGCCAAATGTGGTCAAATGTAGCCAAATGTGGTCAAATGTAGTCAAATGTAGTCAAATGTAGCCAAATGTAGCCAAATATAGTCAAATGTAGCCAAATGTAGCCAAATGTGGTCAAATGTAGCCAAATGTGGTCAAATGTAGCCAAATGTAGTCAAATGTAGCCAAATGTGGTCAAATGTGGTCAAATGTGGTCAAATGTAGCCAAATGTAGTCAAATGTAGCCAAATGTAGTCAAATGTAGCCAAATGTGGTTGAATGTGGTTAAATGTAGCCAAATGTAGTCAAATGTAGTCAAATGTAGCCAAATGTAGCCAAATGTAGTCAAATGTAGCCAAATGTGGTCAAATGTAGTCAAATGTAGCCAAATGTGGTCAAATATAGCCGCAATGAAGTCAAATAATGGTCCTACATGAATAAATCGGGCTGTGAATCACTTCTCGATTATTATTTGGTGTCATAAAGTCACAAAAAATTGGAAAATTTACTTTAATCTGAGTTAATAGATCGCGTGCATGTACCGAGGGAGCGAGTAATTACCCAAATGTAGTCGCAATGAAGTCAAATGATGGTCGTACAAGAGTAAATCGGGCTGTGAATCACTTCTCGATTATTATTTGGTGTCATAAAGTCACAAAAAATTGGTAAACTTAATTTAATCTGAGTTGTATTAGGTTAGGTTAGGTACATGCACTCGATCTATAAACTCAGATTAAAGTAAATTTTCCAATTTTTTGTGACTTTTTGACACCAAATACCAGTCGAGAAGTGATTGGCAGTCCGATTTATTGTTGTAGGACCATTATTTGACTTCATTGCGGCTACATTTGGGTAATTAGTCGGACCCCAATTGCTCAAGGTATTGGATATTTGGACCCATATTCTGGACCCAGGTGGTAATATCGACAATATTTCCATAGATTTCAGCCCCGCGAAAGGCTGAAAATCAAACTGGAAGGGTACGGAATTCGGGGAAATGTCCTAGCGTGGATATAAAACTTTCTACATGACCGCAAGCAGTGTGTGGTGATTAATGGCACGAAATCACCATCCGTACCTGTCACAAGTGGGGTACCACAGGGTAGTGTATTGGGCCCGCTGTTGTTTGTTTGTTTCATAAATGACATGCCTGACGTTGTACACTCCTCCGTACAAATGTTTGCCGATGACGCCAAGTTATTTCGGGAAATCAAGAACCAAGCGGACTGTGAAGAGCTGCAGAAGGACCTCTGTGGGCTCCAGGAATGGTCGAAGAAATGGCTGCTGAGATTCAATGTCACGAAGTGTAAGAGGATGCACCTGGGGCGTACCAACGGGATGATGAAACTGCACTAGTCGAGACTGAATGTGAGAAGGACCAAGGTGTGTATGTTGACAATGAGCTGAAGTTCTCGGGCCATTGTGAGAAGAAGGTGAATCAGGCTACTAAACTAGTAGGTCTTATGAGAAGATCGTTCAGATATCTAGACGGTCCGTCCCTCGTGACGATCTTCAGGAGTGAAGTGCTTCCCCATCTGGAGTACTGTCACCCCATCTGGTCCCCGAGATATGCTAGGGACTGTCAGTTGGTTGAAAATGTTCAAAGGAGGGCCACCAAACTGGTGCCTGCACTTCGGCACCTCAGCTACCCTGAGAGATTGGAGCGCCTGAACTTGCCTAGCTTATACTACAGACGGGCAAGGGGCACCTAGTTGAGGGTTTATAAACATCTCAAAGGGCACTACTCGGTCGAGTGTCCTGACCTGGAGCTGGCGGACGCTCGCCCCACAAGGGGTCACAGCTCAAGGTTGAAGAAGCCACAAGTCCAGAAAACTGTGAGGGCAAACTTTTTCGGAGTGAGAATTGTGAACTGTTGGAACAACCTGCCAGAGAGTGTTGTGACGGCACCGAGTGTGAGCTGTTTCAAGACCAGACTTGACCAACACTGGAGCAGGTTCAGGTACATTCAGGAGCCAGTACATGCCCAGTAATTTACAACAGTGTAACAGAGCCAGCATATGTCCAGTACTCTGCCAACAGTGTGTAACAGAGAGCCAGTACATGTCCAGTACTTACCAACAGTGTAATAGAGAGTCAGTACATGCCCAGTAATTTACAACAGTGTGTAAACAGAGAGCCAGTACATGCCCAGTACTTGCCAACAGTGTGTAACAGAGAGCCAGTACATGCCCAGTACTTACCAACAGTGTGTAACAGAGAGCCAGTACATGCCCAGTACTTACCAACAGTGTGTAACAGAGAAGCAGTACATGCCCAGTACTTGCCAACAGTGTGTAACAGAGAAGCAGTACATGCCCAGTACTTACCAACAGTGTGTAACAGAGAGCCAGTACATGCCCAGTACTTACCAACAGTGTGTAACAGAGAAGCAGTACATGCCCAGTACTTGCCAACAGTGTGTAACAGAGAGCCAGTACATGCCCAGTACTTACCAACAGTGTGTAACAGAGAGCCAGTACATGCCCAGTACTTACCAACAGTGTGTAACAGAGAACCAGTACATGCCCAGTACTTACCAACAGTGTGTAACAGAGAACCAGTACATGCCCAGTACTTACCAACAGTGTGTAACAGAGAGCCGGTACATGCCCAGTACTTGCCAATAGTGTGTAACAGAGAACCAGTACATACCCAGTACTTGCCAATAGTGTGTAACAGAGAACCAGTACATACCCAGTACTTGCCAATAGTGTGTAACAGAGAACCAGTACATACCCAGTACTTGCCAATAGTGTGTAACAGAGAACCAGTACATACCCAGTACTTGCCAATAGCGTGTAACAGAGAACCAGTACATACCCAATACTTGCCAACAGTGTAACAGAGAACCAGTACATACCCAGTACTTGCCAATAGTGTGTAACAGAGAACCAGTACATGATGCCCCTTAACAGTGTGTAACAGAGCCGGTATGCAGTACCAGTACTTGCCAACAGTGTGTAACAGAGTCAGTACATGCCCAGTACTTGCCAACGGTGTGTAACAGAGCCAGTACATGCCCAGTACTTGCCAACAGTGTGTAACAGAGAGCCAGTACATGCCCAGTACTTGTTAACAGTGTGTAACAGAGAGCCAGTACATGCCCAGTACTTGCCAAGTGTGTAACAGAGAGCCAGTGCCAACAGTAATGTAACAGGAGCCAGTACATGCCCAGTACTTGCCAACAGTGTGTAACAGAGAGCCAGTACATGCCCAGTACTTGCCAACAGTGTGTAACAGAGAGCCAGTACATGCCCAGTACTTGCCAACAGTGTGTAACAGAGAGCCAGTACATGCCCAGTACTTGCCAACAGTGTGTAACAGAGAGCCAGTACTGTACTTGCCAACAGAGACGTGACTGATCGCCCTCGTGACTAACGAGCCGATCAGTGGCGAAGATAAAAAAAATAATTCAAGTAAATGGCGGCAAAATTGAAGGTACAATTTGTATACTAGAACATAAAAAATAAATAAACACTACAGAGTTGTTTAAAAATGGGTGATTTGTTTTTGTTTTAAAGTGTTTATAAAAGTGATAGATAAATATAAATAAAGAGAAGAGATAAATAATTAAATATATTATAATGCGCCAGCCGATGCTCCTCTCACATTAGCAATTAACAGAAATATTACTATAAACCACCTTAAAGAATCTAAATTAATATAAAATAAACACAAATTAAATTAAATATCTATCTAAAAATACTATATATACAGTTTTAATGATAGAAAATAAATTGAACTGTGAACTCCCTTGTGAGGCCTTTCGGTCCGGCCATTATCAAGTGAACGGGTCTGGTGAGTCGAGTTAATGCCTTTTTTAACTAATTCCTCTCTCACAGCCTCACTATATCACTACAGACTATCACAGTAAATATATTAAAGCCACACGAGTGATGTATAACCTATAATGTAGTGTATATATGGCAGGAAGGGGTGATATAGAGGTAATGTTTACAACACGTGAGTCCTGGTGTGGTGTTGACATGAAGGACCCAAATTATTTTATTAGTTTGAAATTAAAAAAAACTTAATGTAATTGATGGTGATTTAATGGAATGATCTTTATTTTTGATGGTATTGACCTGATCTCAAGGACCAATGGATCTGTGGGTAAGATAATATAAGAATGGAGGAAACAGCAGCGGGTCTATACTGGTCAGTCCCGTTTACACCCAACCCCTATAGCACTCCTGGTTGGATAGTTTGAGTACCTTTGTCATGTCCCCTTTGTTTAGCCCTGACTTCCATTTATACACCTCTATCAGGTCGCCCCTCACTCTACGTCTCTCGAGGGAGTGTAAATTAAGATGCTTTAACCTGTCTCTGTACTCAAGGTTCCTAATGCCCGGGATTAGTCTTGTCATTCTCCCCTGAATTCTGTAATACGGTGACCAGAACTGAACTGCGTAATCCAAGTGAGGTCTAACAAGGGCAGGATATAGTTTAGGATGACCTCACTAGTCTTGTAACTAACACTCCTTTGTATGAACCCAAGTACTTTATTAGCCTTGTTTAGAGTAAATACACATTGTTTACTTGGCTTAAGATTCCTACTTATTACTCATAAATCTTCCTCGTAGTCGGATTTCTCTATGGCATCGTTGTTCATCTGGTATCTGGTTTCCCTGTTTACATCTCCTATACTGAGTACTTTACATTTGTCCACGTTTAATTTCATCTGCCATTTTTCAGACCATTCGAAAAATTTGTTTAGATCTTCCTGTAGTTTTGCCGAGTCCTCGTCAGATTTGATAACACGTCCTATTTTAGTGTCATCAGCAAATTTACTTATGTTGCTGTCTATGCCGATATCTATGTCGTTTATGTATATAATAAATAATAATGGTCCAATAACTGAGCCTTGGGGAACTCCACTTGTGACGTTGCTCCAATGGGACTTAGTGCCATTAATGCTCACTCTCTGTTTCCTGTCCTGTAACCACGCCCTAATCCATTTAAGGATGTCACCTTTGATGCCATGAGCTTCTACCTTTCTAATTAGTCTTTCGTGGAGGACTCTGTCGAAGGCTTTGCTAAAGTCGAGATATACCACATCATAATTGTGCCCCTCGTCCACCGATTCGAAAACTGATGAAAAGAATGTTAATAGATTAGTTAGGCAAGAACGTCCGCTTGTGAAGCCATGCTGGGAATCATTGATCAATCGGTGCCTCTCCAGGTGATTTCGAATAGAGTTTGAAATGATTGCTTCTAGTAATTTGCCTACTATTGATGTTAGACTGATTGGGCGGTCATATATGCCACACACTATCTTGTATGTTTCCACTTGGTCCCCACGAGATCTTCTGTACGCCAGTGTCGGTAACTGTAATTTCCGGGTCCGACTAATTACCCAAATGTACCCAAATATAGCCGGAATGAAGTCAAATAATGGCCCTAGATGAATAAATCGGACTGCTAATCACTTCTCGACTAGTATTTGGTGTCAGAAAGTCACAAAAAATTGGTAAACTTAATTTAATCTGAGTTAATAGATCGAGTGCATGTACCTAACCTAACCTAACCTAACCCAACCCAACACAACTCAGATTAAATTAAGTTTACCAATTTTTTTTTTACTTTATGACACCAAATAATAATTGAGAAGTGATTCACAGCCCAAATTACGCTTGTACGACCATCATTTGAATTCATTGCGGCTACATTTGGGTAATTACTCGCTCCGTCGGTACATGCACGCGATGTATTAACTCAGATTAAAGTAAGTTTTCCAATTCTTTGTGACTTTCTGACACCAAATACTAGTCGAGAAGTGATTAGCAGTCCGATTTATTCATCTAGGACCATTATTTGACTTCATTCCGGCTATATTTGGGTACATTTGGGTAATTAGTCGGTAACTGTAATTTCCTTAGTCGTTCCTCATAAGATAAATCCTTGATTTGTGGTACTAATTTGGTAGCCCTCCTCTGTACATTCTCTACTGCTTCAATATCCTTAATGAGATATGGGCACCAAATTTGATTAGCATACTCAAGGTGTGGCCTAACCAGAGCAGTGTACAGAGCCTTGAATATAGGTGCATCCAGATGAACAAAAGTTCTTCTAATAATGCCCACTATTTTATTAGCCTTGTTGATTTTCTCAGCTAGATGGTCAGAGAACATCAGCTTATCATCGATGACTACCCCTATATCCTTCTCTACAGTGGTCTTCTTGGTCGTGGTGTACATGATATATGGTCAGCAACTTTTGTTCTTCCTATCCTCATGTATTTACTTTTTTCTGGGTGAAAGTTCAGCATCCACTTCTCAGTCCAACCCCTGATCCCATCCAGGTCCTCCTGCAGCATGTCACAATCCTCATCTCGTTCTATTTTCCTAAAAATCTTTGTGTCATCAGCATATAGATATACCTCACTGTCGTGTTTAATTGCCTCAGGCAGGTCATTGATAAAAAAGACAAACAGCAGGGGGGCCGAGGACAGAACCCTGAGGGACCCCACTAGTGACCTCTCTCCAGTCAGATACTTCTCCATTTACCACAACCCTCTGTTTTCTCTTAGTTAAAAAATTCCTTATCCAATCAAGATATTTTCCATCAATGCGATAACTACCGTATATACCCGTGTATAGCACGAGTTCTTAAGACCAAATTTTTTGGCAAAAAGTTGGGGTCGACCTCTATACGGGTAATAGTTTCGTTAGGTTGAAAAATATTTACCAGTAACTACCAGTAAACAATGGAAACGACACACCACCCGCTGTGAGTGTCGGTACAGTTGCCAGGGCAGATCTCTTGCGTCATCATAGCAAGCCCAAAGTAGCCAAATGCATGGTATGGTATGCACAGGAGTATGTAAAACATAAAGTATTCTTTTTTAAAATTTTATTTATAGATACATAAATTTTTGTTAATTAAATTTGAAACATCAATCTTTGTTAATTAAATTTGAAACAAAAGAAAAATACGATACCTTATTTATAAATATTTTCATTAAAATATTACATCACAAATATATTTTACCTTAACTGTGCCTGAATGAATATATTCTCAGAAATAAATATGGAAATGTAATATTTTTGCTGAAATGACGTACGTATTACAGTGGAAAGTGGGATAAAATTGTGACGAAAACAATGACTCACTTTCTTTCGTCGTTCAAAAGATTTTACCGTAATCGCTTTTCGAATGGTTTTCAGTTAAAAAACTGTTGTATTACAATAATATTCTATCCTAATTGACTTGAATAAATACTACGATACCATATTTCTGAATATTTTCATTAAAATCCATCAAAATCATTTTCCTTATCATCTGCAGCACCAAACAGCTCCTCCCAGTCCTCTCCTTGAACAGCATCGTCATATGGATCAACACCATCATCAGCCATAGGATCATCAATATCTTCATCCTCATTCACGCTCTCATTAGCCTCATAATCCCACAACAAGTCGTCTTCTGTTCCATCAAGAGCATTCGAAATCCCACATTTCTTAAAAGATTTCACCACAATTTCTGGTCTGATTGCATCCCAGGCCTCTACAATCCATTCACATAATGTTGCTAGTGATGGAGCTTGGATGTTGCCTCCCTTTGTGTATGTCTTATCGCCTTCTATCATCCAGTTGTTCCACTTCACTCTTACCGCATCTTTAAATGGTTTGTTTATGGAAACATCCAGTGGTTGGACAAGACTTGTTAATCCACCAGGAATCACAGCTGTATCACTGTTTTCCTTCCTAATCCCAGCAGTAACACTGTCAACAAGATGTGACCAAAACATATCCCACACAAGAAGACTTTTTTCTTTGCGCAGTCCCCCTGGTCTAAAGTTCAGACTTTTTTAAGTCACATTTGTATGCCGCCTTCATCCATCCATCCTTTCTCGTGCACATGGATGATTAAAAAAATGCTGTCTGACTTGCAACACTGTTGGTAGGGTCAGGTGGTTCTAACGGCACCTGCCAGGACCCGGTAATCAAATTTATAACAGTGTCTAACCTCAGTTACTGTAGTTTATCTGATGTAGGCAATATGAAGTAAAAAATACCAGTTAAAGTGAGAAATTGGAAGAGAATAAACAAGAAAGATGTCGTTGGGCTATTTTTGGTAGGGCTGAGGGAGAGAGTACCAGCTGTTTGGTCTTTATTGGCGGGGGAGTCACGCAAATAACCGTAGTACTGGTATTTGTTTGGTGTCTTCTGTATTTTTAAAAATGAATACTTGTAAATTAAAAGTACCGTAACATTGTATTATATACAAACTTGTCATATTTCTGGAAAATAAGAAGCAAGAAAATAAGAATATACCAGTAAACACAATTTCAACGTACGCTAAAATTAAAAGCTGCTTCAGAAGGGCCGATGCAAACACAAAGCCTCCGCGACCAGGGCGCTGCCGTATCAGCTAGACGGTACACGTGTTTTTCGAATCGTTTTCAGTTAAAAAACTGTTACATCACAAGTGAATTAGGATAGAATATTATTGTAATACAACAGTTTTTAACTGAAAACCATTCGAAAAGCGATTACGGTAACATCTTTTCAACGAAAGAAAGCGAAAGTCATTGTTTTTGTCACGATTTTATCCCACTTTCCACTATAATACAGGTTGTACCTCTCTAGTCCGGCAACCTCGGGACCTGACCGGTGCCGGACCATGGAAATTCACTCTTTTCCTGGTTAGATAGTGACTTGTGCTTATGCCTGGAAGCACTAGCACCACTTTATCTGCGTCATGGTCTCTTTGAAGACATATTGAAGGGTTAAATGTCGTATAGTAGCTTCTCAAATTTCGCGAGTTTTTAATTCTTAACGTATTTTATTGGAACA